CGAGGTGCTCCTGCTCGTCGACCCCATCGACGAGTACGCCATCACGCAGCTCAAGGAGTTTGACGGCAAGAAGCTCATCTGTGTGTCGAAGGAGGGCCTCGAGCTCGAGGAGACCGAGGAGGAGAAGCAGGCACGGGAGAAGGAGGCCACCGAGTTCAGCGAGCTGTGCACCACCGTCAAGGACGCGCTCGGCGACAAGGTCGAGAAGGTCGTTGTCTCCAACCGCATCACCGACTCTCCTTGTGTCCTCGTCACTGGTCAGTTCGGGTGGTCGTCGAACATGGTACGTGTGCTCTAGTTGCGGTGAGTAGGATGTGGGCTAACGATGTTTGCAGGAGCGCATCATGAAAGCGCAGGCTCTGCGGGATTCTTCGATGTCGTCGTACATGGCGTCGAAGAAGACGCTCGAGCTGAACCCCACCAACGCGATCATCAAGGAGCTGAAGCGGAAGGTTTCGGAGGACAAGGGCGACAAGTCTGTGCGCGACCTGACGTACCTCCTGTTCGAGACGGCGCTGCTCACGTCCGGGTTTGCTCTGGACGAGCCGACATCATTTGCCAAGCGCATTCACCGCATGATTTCGTGAGTTGCTTTGTGCGCTGCTGCTTTGTGGTTGCTGACTGACTGTGGGACAGCCTGGGCCTTGATGTTGACGAGGACGAGGAGGATGCTCCTGCCGCTGCCGCCGACGACGATGCACCGCCGCCATTGGAGGGCGCGTCGACGTCCGCGATGGAGGAGATTGATTAGTTGCTGTCGTATATTACTTGCATTTCTTGTCTGACTGTCGCACGAAACCAAATATCATTTTTACATCTCTCTCTCTGTGACTCAGTTGCTGTGTGAATATTGTGAAGGCGATCGAGACAATGGGAATTGCGGACGCGTCTGACACAAACCGAGTCACATCACGTGTGACTCGTCGCGTCTCTCTCTCACAGGACGATATCGCCCATTGTTCTCCCTAACCGCCACGGCCATGATCCATCTTTCTCCCTGATTCAAATCCCATAAAGACCCCTCACGACACCACTGTATTCTTTATTCGCCCCAGATGCTCGACGTTGTATCACCCCAGCCTCGTCTCCCAACCTCTGCTGCTATTTATTCCATGGTCCGTCCAGAGCTCGCGTGTCGCACCCAGCTCCTCATCCTGTCTCCACAGATGACCCCACCACCGCTCGTCGTGTCGACGCCCCAACGACTTCAGTCTCCGATCCTCCTAGACCCGCGACTCCGCTCGGTACGCGCCATTTCGCTTCTGCTGTGGCCACAACTCATTGTTCTCTTCCACAGCCGGCGCGATCCCATTGCAGCCCTCCCCATCGCCGGCGCACCGCGCGTCCGCGTCGTCGTCGCCACTGTGCGCGTACCGATTGCCCTGTCGAGTCTGCCCTCCACCCCTTCGACCGTCTACCATGGATATCCGCCATGGACACCCTACCCGACGCGTTCGATCCCATCGACATCGCAGATCTCTCCCAGCTCGTCGTGGACGACCCCCTGAGCCAGTGTGGCGCAGCGCCACCTGGCTCTGGGCCCATCCGTCGGCGGAAGACATCCCTGCGCTCCAGTCCCCTGGCCCCCAAGCCTCCGCCACTGCATGAAATACCTCCCCATACGCCCATCTCCCACATTAATCACTCCCTCATCCACTTTCACAATCTTATGCCCGTGTTTTCTTGCGATCACAACGCACGGTCCTAATACGCGCACCAGGCGCTGACCACTACTCTGCACTCGACACCATAATCCGATCATCGCTTCGCATTGCAACGTATCCTCGACAATAATTCCCCATCTTCGCTATCTATGCCACGGCCTGCTCGCTCGATGTATTCTCAATGTTTTCCCCATCTGCATGCTCATTTATTGACCAAACGAATTTCGGAGAAGTATATATCTGCGCTATTACCCATTTCTTTTTGCTTTCCGCACCATTGTTGCCATCTCAGCATAACGCTGATGTTCTGAACCTATACTGCATGCCTTACTTACACAGCGTACCCAACTCGATTTGCTATGACTCGATCCTTGCTGTATACATATGTCCGATCACTCAGAGAATAAACTTGACCAGAGTCACAAAGTTCCCGTCTGTCTCCGTCCTCGTCTCCCGTCCCTCCATCCTCTTTATCCGTGCTCACTAGAACAAACCGTACAGACTCAACAACGCTCGACAAATGTCCGAGCGGGCCTATAAATTTCGGAGCAGGTCCCTCTGCTTTGCCGGAATCGGTATTGCAGGAGGCAGCTCAAGGTCTCTTGGATTTCAACGGCACCGGGATAGGAATCGCGGAGATCTCTCATCGGTCGAAAGAGTTCACCGCCTTTCTTGCAGACTTGGAGGGCCAGATTCGCACTCAGCTGGACATCCCTCAGACGCACAGCGTCTTATTTACCCAAGGCGGAGGGTCAGCCCAATTTTCTGCTGTTGTCCTCAACCTTCTCGCTCGACACCGTCTGCTGTACCCCGATCTTCCCAATGAAGAACGCGCCATGGACTATATCATTACCGGCTCTTGGAGCAAAAAGGCGGCCGAAGAGGCGCGGAGGCTGGGCGGCGGGAAGGTCAACGTCGCAGTCGATGCTCGGCCATACTCGAAGGACGGTCGGTCTTTCGATAGCATCCCCGCTCACGACGCCTACAAGTTCTCGCCCGCTCCCGCGTTGATCTACTATTGCGAAAATGAAACGGTGGACGGCGTAGAATTTGCAAACGACGCGTCGTCCCCGGCGTCCTTCCCCTTCCACCTCCTGCCGAAGGACACCCTCCTGCCCCTCGTGGGCGACTACTCCTCGTCGTTCATGTCGCGCTCCATCCCGCGCCTCGCCGACCACGCGGTGATCTACGCTGGCGCCCAGAAAAATATCGGGCCAGCGGGACTCACCATTCTCATTGTGCGGAATGACTGTCCTCGTGGATGTAGACGCCGCAGCGAAGCTCGGGGCGGCACCTGTCCCGCTGACAATGGCGTACAAGACGCTTGCAGACAGTTCTAGCGTATACAACACCCCGTCCGTCCTCCCGATCTACATCGCCGGCTTGGTGCTCAAGCGGTCGCAGGCGCTGGGCGGGGTCAAGTATTACGAGGAGGTCAATAAGCGAAAGGCAGCAAAAGCTATATTCGGTCATAAAGGAGGGGGATGCGAAAGGCTTGCTGCGGGCCAAAGTCAAAGAGGGCTCGGGGAGCTTGATGAATGTGGTGTTTGATGTGCTCGGCGACGGTGCAGAGGCGAGATTTGTCTCGGGCGCCGAGGCACTGGGGATGAAGGCGATCAAGGGCCACAGGTACGCGCATCCTTATGACGGTTTAATCGTTACTGACTTTATAAACCCAAGGTCGGTTGGAGGTAAGCGACATGAACTCTCGGGCGGTCAGTAGGTTCAATTTCTGCACCAGGGATACGAGTTTCGTTGTACAACGCCGTGACGGAGGAACAAACAGACACCATGGTCACCTACATCAAGCAATTCTTGGCCCAGTAGGTCGTTGTGACGGGCATGGCCTTGGTGCTCAAAATTGCAAGAGAAGTGGAAAAAATCCTGTATGTAATGTCTTGAAAATTAACGCTGCTACGCTACGTTGGTTGAGGAACGCCATTTGGCAAAAAGTGTCGCCGCGTCGGTCCTGTTTTCTCGCATCTCTTTATTCGGTACAGTATAATATACAACCCCTTCAACCCATAAACATGACGTCCGACCGCAGCACATATTTCACGCCGCGTAGAACGGGAGATCCCTCGTGTAACATGCACTCTCGCCCGTGACTACATATGTTTAGCTTTAGTCAATGGCAGCGGAAATCGACCGCTACATACCGATGTAAGAGAGCGGTGCCGCGCGTCAGCGGAGCCTTGATGACGTCCTTGGCCGTGGCCTTTCCGCTCTGATAAAATAAGGTCTGAATGGAACTAAGCCTTCGCCGTCAAGTTGTAAAGGAAAGCTAGGATACCTCGCCCCCCTCGACTCCGTCTTCGTAGCCGGTCAAATAAATGAGGAGGGTCCACTCGGATTTTGCTCCAGTCATTTGATCGCGGCAATCGTCGTCGTAGTGCGGTCTAGGCGCGCGATTGAGCAGGCGGTAATGGAAAACCCAAACAACAGACCCGAAATGCTGCAGCGGGGTATATTTGTATACCCGTATGTTGGAATTGAAAGAGTGGGCCTGGCGAGAGACGCCGACGTTCGTTCCCTTGGCCCCTTTCGCAGGAGGGAATGGGGGCAAATGCGGGGCAAATGCAGCATGCAGTCGCTTGGCAAAGTCGACGGACGTGATAGAATATCGGTCTGGGACAGACTTGGTATTGGTTAAACAGGTTGCGAGTGTACATACGATTGTGTCTTTCGGCCTCGCCGCGTTTCTTGGGCGGCGTAAGCTCCAGCGGTAAACTGTCAATGAATTTTACAAAGGATTTACACTCTGCAGCGGAGAAGATGTCCTGAACGAACAAGTTATTAATGCTTCGGTCAGTGGATGCATACTTGGCTACAAACATCGATCACGACAATCTGGTCCTCCAGGAGAACCCGACTATTCGAGTTCAGACTTGGGTGATATGACCGGGAAAGCGATGGGGGGTTCGTCGTGGCTGGCTGCCACGGGTCGGGCGCTCTTTTCCTTTTTCCCCATGCGAGGTCACCGACCGAAGGACGTGCGATACTATATGTTGACTCGTCTCGCGATCGGGTCGATCTCAAGGTTGACTTGATCGACCAGTCAATCAACGTTAATCAACTTTGCCTGACTCAGAACAAGTTCGACTCTGACTCATGGGCTTGGAATCGCGCGACATTTCGCGTGCTACGGTGAGAAAGGAGCGGTTTGGGGTTTAACGGCGTCTTCGCAGAATTCTGATGATCTAGTGCGTGCGGATGTTCCTTTTTGCAAAAAAATCTCAAATATATTCAGAAAATATTATTTTTCTGCGGTCTTTCTTCCCCTCCCTCGTTCCCTTGCCTTCTTTGCTCATGAAGGGGCCCAAAAAGAGGGAATTACTGCCCCCGAGAGGCTCGAACTCTCGATCTCCCGATGCCCAACTTCCTGCGTAACCTGACGGTGCATCAAGACGCGTCCGGGTAACAGTCGGACGCCTTCACCAACTGGGCCAGGGGGCAGATGCGAATCTCGTGGATAATGGAGCCCACAGAACTCGAGGAGGGAGGAGATGTAGGCAACACAGGAATATAAGGAGTTAATCAATGATGACGAGAGAGAACACTGTACTGGGAGATTATGCGCAAAGGCCAACACAGGGAAGGGACGGGAGGCGTGAAATGGTACGTGGTAGACGCGGAATGAAAGGAGGTGTGAAGGAAGGGTAAAAGAAACGGAAGATGCACACCTCCTAATGCTGCGGCGCGCGCCTCGTACACACCGCTCCCTCCCACCACGCCCGGAGCCTCTGTGCGCGTTTGGAGGTGCTTTCCGTAAATCAGAAGTCGAAAGGGAGGACGCCGGCTGCCCAGCGGGATGTAGTGGCATGTCATGTGCACCACCGATGGACTCGCAACTACAAGAGGATGAAGAAGCGACCAAAGATCTGGCAATACTGCTCAGTAAGTGACACAGCCAGCCCACGAAACAGATCCGAGCGTAGAGAACCCCGAAGGAAGTTTACACAAAGCTTCTATACAGTCCTACAGAACTCCCAATCTGTCTGAAATTCGGCAGTGTCGGCACGGCACACTGGTTTCGAGTGGGCTGTCGGTTCCGCGGCATAGTCATGTAGGAGATGTAGGGGCGAAGCGGAGGGGGCTGGGATGGAGAACGAGAGGAAGGTCGGCGTGGGGTAATGAAGGGCACGTGTGAATCGGG